GATTAAAATTTTCTCAGACAAACAAGGCCTGAAAGAATTTGCCAACACCAGACCAGTTCTTCAAAAAACCCTGAAGAAAGTACTGTTCCAGGAAAACTAAAGAATTAACAGACAGAAACAAAGGAATAAAAGGCAACTAAGACAATGGCCAACTTAAACGTCGGGACAGGCCCAGTAACATTGATAATAACATTGAATGTGAATGGATTAAATTCTCCAATCAAGAGACACAGATTGGCTGAATGGATGAAAAGACAGAAACCCTCTATCCTTTCCTACAGGAAACCCACTTCATGGATAAAGACAGACATAGACTGAAAGTGAAGGGTTGGAAAAAGGTTTTCCATGCAAATGAGAACCAAAAAAGAGCTGAGTTGCAATATCAATTTCTGACAAAAGAGACTTTAAAACAAAAACTGTTCGAAGAGACAAAGAAGGGCATTATATTGTAGTAGAAGGGTCAATAGATCAAGAAGATATAATGTTTATAAATATCTATGAGCCTAACACAGGAGCACCCAAATATGTGAAGGAAAGACTGTTAGATCTAAAAGGGGAGATAGACTGCAACACACTAATTGTTGGAGACCTCAACACTGCACTTCCCTCTGGACACATCATCTAGACAAAAAATAGATAAAGAGATAAAGGATCTAAATGATACTATAAATGAAATGGACTTAACAGACATCTATAGAACTTTCCATCCAAAAACCACGAGATACACTTTTTTCTCACCCTCACATGGGACCTTTTCGAAGACTGACCTGACCACATCATAGGGCACAAAGCAAGCCTCTACAGATTCAAAGGCATAGAAACTATATCTAGCATCTTCTCTGACCATGATGGAATTAAACTTGAGTTTAACTGCAAGAGAAATCCTCAAGAACACTCAAGTACATGAAAACTAAATAACCTACTCCTGAATGACTCCACAACTACTGATGAAATAAAGACTGAAATCAAAAAATTCATGGAAGCCAATGACAATGGGGACAGGAGTTTCCATAATCTTTGGGACACTGCTAAAGCAGTCATAAGAGGGAAATTCATAGCAATTAGTGCACATAAGAGGAAGATGGAAAGAAGGCAAAAGGATCAACTAACATCATGCCTTAGAGAATTGGAAAAGCAACAGCAAAAAAATCCAAAAATCTCCAGGAGAAAGGAAATAATAAAGATATGAGCAGAAATAAATGAAATAGAAAATAAGCGAACTATACAGAAAATAAAGTAAAAGCTGGTTCTTTGAAAAGATAAACAAAATCGATACACCACTAGTGAGACTATTAAGAAGAAGAGAGAAAGGAACCAGGTGAATCAAATCTGCAATGAAGCAGGCAAAATAACAACAGACATAGTAGAAATACAAAACATCATTAGAGGATAGTATGAACATCTGTATGCCAAGAAACAAGACAATCTGGCTAAGATGGACGAATTCCTGGACTCATATAATCTACCAACATTGAGCCAGGAGGATATAGAAAGCCTGAATAGGCCCATAACAAGCCAGGAGATTGAATCAGTAATAAATAACTTCCAACAAAGAAAAGCCCTGGCCCTGATGGCTTCACCTCTGAATTCTATAAAACTTTCAAAGAAGAGTTAACCCCCATTCTGCTCAAGTTA